CCCTGAGCATGCAGTTCCCTGCTGGCCCCTCCTGGATGTGTGCCAGAATAATTTTCTCGAACAGCTTGCCCAGGATCGAGGTAAGACTGACTGGCCTGTAGTTCCCCGGGTCCTCTTTCCTCCCCTTTTTGAAGATGGGAACCACGTTGTCGGACTTTAAGCAGGCACACACTCAAGGTCCATTTGGGTACTCACATGATCCACATCAGTGTGATATCTGGGCACCCCACAAACTTTCCCCACCCACCACCTGCCCCTTCCCCTCCACACACTTACCAGCTTGGCACTCTCTCTCCGTGCACCAGAAGAAAAAATCCTGAGATTTGCTCTCTCTATCAGGAGATCATGAGTCAGACTTAATTTGACTTGGAAATCAGGAGTCTCGTGATTTTTTTTCCATGAGAGTTGGCCTTACTGGCATCACACACATTGCACACACGTAGGCAAGTGGTTCTCAACCAAGAACCTCCTTGTTAAACTCAAGACACCCCTTGGAAAATGCCAGCTCTTGGTTTTCATTCAGTTTTTGACTACAGAAAAATAATAGAGAAATTCTTCTGTTGAAAAGAAGTCAGAAAGACCACAACAGGGCAGCATGCTTTTAATACTCTGGATTCCTATTTGGAATCTCTAGGTTTATCTTGTGAATCATGTCTACACATCTCACAGTGCTAACAGCCTCCTTGATACCCTGTGGCACCCTTGAAAGGACTCAAGGTACCCCTGGTGCTGACGCACCTGGCTAAGAATCGCTCCTGCAGGCACTAATGAAAGTGACAAGTTGTGCTGTCTTGGATTTTTCAGGTCCCATTTCCTGCTCCTTGTACTGTGGGCGTCTCAGGCTTTTATTTGCTCATTTTTATTTTCTGGGATGAACACTACTTCACTCAAGGCTGAGACTTTGGAAACAAGGTCCTGGCTTGTAAGGGAGTCATTTTGTAAACCTTAAGGGGAAAAAAAATTTGATTTCAGGTGGGGAAATTTTGTGTCAAATTTTCATAAGTTGTTGTTGATTTTGGGTGCCTCAGTTTCTAAGTACGTGCCTTGAGTCAGCTATATTGAATGTTCTTATATTGCTGCTTGTTTCCAATAGTAACCTGGTGGCAGCCTATGAGAAAGCAAAGAAGAAGCATCAAAACAAACTGAAGAAACTGGAGTCACAAATGATGGCCATGGTTGAAAGGCATGAGACGCAAGTGAGGATGCTCAAACAAAGAATAGCTCTGCTGGAGGAAGAGAACTCAAGACCTCATACCAATGAAACTTCACTTTAAATATCTCATCTATCTATACATATATAGAGAGATATATATATATAGATTAATATCTATATAGATATATATAGATTAATATCTATATAGATATATATCTCTATATATAGATAAAAGACAATTAGTGCCATTAAAAACCTGTTTTGTTTTGAGGCTGATTTTGGGTAGTGAACACTTAAGGATATGGGACATAACATAGACATAGATCAGCACCTCATCTTGGACTGTGGCTCTCAACTCAAATCAAGAGGGATGGAGAGACTATTCTCAGCCTAAGCCAAGGATAGTTTTTTGATGATTCCGTGCTAATGGACCATGCCTAAAGGTAAAATTTCTCTTCATACCAAGGTTACGTACACAGTGTATGTAAGGTCTCTGCCCATGCAGAATTTTGTAGTATGTGGGACACCTGGATCCCTTTGCATTCCATCACTGCAGATGTAGTGCTAAGAGAAATAACATGTTACAAACTTTTTCTGGTTTGAACCCATAAAGATTTTGATAGTTCTCCAGCCACCTCCCCCATTCCTCCTTCGACCTCCTGTCTTAAAATCTGGAGGAAAGACCTGCTGTTGCTGTTAACATCTGCTCTACGAGTGGGGAAGATGTAAAATGAAAGTCTAGTTTGTCTTTTGCACCAAACTCACAGTTATCCACAGTGCACACAGTTCAGCACATCAAGGCGGACAAGTCTTGTTAATTTGAAGAAGTTTTACGCAGACAGCATTCCTTCCCCAGAATGAGAAAGGTGGTATTGCATACTTGTGGTGGTGATGCATTTCTTGTGACCTTAAAGGCTATGGGTATGTAACTACATGTTTTTCACAGTGCCGGACAGTCTGTGCCAAGAGTAGGTAAGAAGTTGTAGAACAGCTTTTGTCCTTCACATCGTATGGTGGCTCTGACAGTTCATGAAAGCATTGGATTTCCAGTAATAATATATTTACAGCTAAGGTCGTTGTCTACAAGATGGGCCACCTTTGTCACGTGCATAATGTTCGATTGTGTCTTTGCGTGTTCAAGATGTGGAAAGTCCCTCTGCACTTGTTTTGACCAAAAAGGTACCTGTTTGCAACAATGTACCTGTTCAGTATTGTATGCATGTGTATGTGTATATGTGGGCATACATATAGACACAGTCACACATGACACAATGTGAACAGAATGGCTGTGTAGCTCACGCAACTTCTACTCGCATTGTCCTAGCACAGCTTTCTGGGGCTCATAAACTATATGAGATATTTTTAATTAGTTACTGTTAGTGTGTCTGAAGTTCTTTGTTCAAGTTGGTTGGTTTTTCATGTCATACTAATGTATTGTAAGCTGGAACAGGATAAAAACCTGCATTAATAGAGGCAGGCTGAGGCATAGAGATTGGGTTGCTATCTCTAGGTAGTGGGGAGAGGTGGGCTCAGGTGCAGCACATAGCCAGTGCCTGGATGACTTGTTTATAGGCATTTTTTCACCATTGCTGAGATTGAGCAGATAACAACACAGTAGCAATTTTAACAGGGTGTCAGCCTTAAGTCAGTTAGCTTTGCACTGTTCATTATTGTAACTACATTCCCTTGTAGGTTATGTGTTCTTCAAGCCTGAGATACTTTCCTTGGCATCGACATTCAGAAGTCATCTGGGATTTGTTTCAGGTTTCCTATGCATGGTTACACGGATATGGATTGTTCTCTAAAGGCTGTGGCCATGGTTCTGTAAGCCCGATAACCCTCCATTAGCACAGGGCTTTGGCATTTGGGCTGGAATCAGGCCTTGCTACATCTAGACATTAATCAACATTTTGTGGGTATTTGCTGTCCATTCCCCTCCCCACACAGACTCAGATGGGATTTTAAACCCTAATGGTTCTTAGTTCTGACTTCCAGCTATCCTTCATGCTGGCACCTGCTGTTTTCTTCCGTGAACTAGATGTTGATAATCTGATCTTCAGACAACAAAAGACCACTTTGTAATTGACTGCACCAGTGCAAATCAAAAAAAGATTTTATAACTTCCAGATGAAGGGTCCCTATTGCTGTTACCACCCACCTGGACTGGGCTAACCCTTCTTCATGGCAGAGCTATGCGATTCCCACCTGCACTGAGGTTATTAAATCACAATGCAAATGCAGCTTTTTGCAGCCCCCGCCCCATCATTTAAGCAGTAGTCACATTGATTTCCTGGTGTTTTGAATGCATCTCTGTCTATAGAATAGTTTTGCTGAGATGAATCTATTCTCCCTTATAGCAAAAAAAGCTGCAACCAGTTTGCTTGGAGGCATATGTTTTTACAAGATCTGTCCAGAAAAGTTTCTTGGTCCTGCAATAGAATGTTTTTCCTTTATTCCAGATGCCAGGGTTCTTGGCATGTTTGCCAGAGAAGGTTTGATAAAAATACGCTCTTACAGAGGCATGCTTTTCTACCTTGTTTCAAAGCAGTTTCTGTATTTTTTGGATCCAGCACTGTTCTTGAGTTTTGTCATAGCCTTTACTGGAAACAAAATCAGACTGCACGTTTTGGAACTTTCCTGGGAAAAGGTCTTTCCAGGTGAAAAACTGTGAATATAATCCCACGTTAATGATGCACTGAGAAGAGCAGACTCTAAACATTCTGTTGTCACGAATCTGAAATGACCATTGAACTTTAGAGGGAGTCAAAGTGAGGTCATTCCAAATAAAAAGTGTTTCACTAAAATCCACGTAGGGCAACTAGAAAAGGTTACAGCAGCACACTTTTTCCTCACTCCATTTTTTCGCTTGCTGATTGCTGCCAGGGATATTTTAGTCCCCAGCCAAAAAGGTAGAATTGCTGATTTTACATTATATATACTGTGTAAACTGTCTGAATTCAAATGTACCTGCAGGAGCCCAAATGAAGGAAGCCTGAAATAACCCTAAACCCTGTGGGGCAGATTTTCAGAAACAGGTGACTCTATGCAATCCTGTACAAGACCCCAAACACATTAAGTGCAGTGTACACAAAATGATGCAAATTTACATGCTTTTGCATGCACATGCACAGGCACAGGAACTTGTATGTTGTGCATATGCACTTCTCTAGTTTAGGAAAATGCAGCCAGTGAAGAGTAAGTTTGAGCAGACACTATAGGTCTAATCTGGGAACCCTTTAGTCTAAAACATGCTTTTGAAGATCAGCTGATGTCTTGGCTGGTCCCCTCCCAATCCCATTAAAGTGAGGTGTGCGCTAATCTAGTTCGCACAGGTTCAAAACCTTTCCACTGTGGTAAGGTCATCAGTCCCTTTTACTGTGCTTATCACTACTATACTTAAGACCCTGAGAACTGCTGCATGATGAAGAAGGTAAAGTTATACCCATGTGGAGAGTTGATGAGTCCAAATCACTAGTTTGTACCAAGGGGAAAGCCTACATTAGCTTTAAGTGGAGGTTTTGAAAGAGTAAATGCAGTAGAATCCTCCTGCTTATGACTAAAATAACACTAATCATTTGCTTGCCCCATTTAAAGTGACAGAAGTAATGAAAAGTGCCCCCAGACAATGGTTTTGTAATGTAATTTAGCCTCCCTGTTTCTTAATGGTTCATTAATTAGATTGGCTGTTTGATTACTGTATCTTACACAGCTAAGAAAACTATAGTTGAAGGGGAGGCAACCACAGCTAGCAGTCTGGCACTTAAGCTGTTTTAGTGCTTATAGACATGTATTCACATACCTTTGTCTGCTCCGACCTGCCACAAATCCAGCCTGGTGGAGCAGACTCGATTAACTGAGTCTGCAGAGCATGCGAGCTGATGCACCCGGATACATTTGTATAAACAGCAAAATGTGCCAGTGTGCAGAAAATGGAAGCAGCGCTCCTTTGAACTAAAATACCTTCAATGTGTTCAAAAACGTACCACCGCCATTTTCTCAGCACTGGCGTGCATTTCGCCATTTATACAAATGCATGCATCGCAACACCAGCACTTCTAAAAGTGCCCAGTGCTGCAATACATGCATGTATAGAAATGCCCTATGTTCCCAGTAGTGACCAGATCCTGTGCTTCATAGATAGACCTGAACAGATGGACAAGGCTGACATATTTTATATTAGTTGATGTTTTGTTATATATATTTATCTAAATAAACTTAGTTATGTGGGAGTAAGGTTCAGAAGAAGACTGGTTTATTAACTTGAACTAACTATAGATCAAATCCAGAAAAGTATTTGGGCGCCTAGCTCCTGTTTAAAAGCCTAACTTACATTTCTGCATCTGGTCCTTTGTGTATATGAGCTGGAGGAAAGCATGTCACTACACTTAAATAGTCTCATTCTAGATAGCCCTTAAAAGTGCCTTAACCAATTAGGTTCTGGTCATGCTTACTCTCTCTGACCAATGACTATTTTGATAGCTAAGGAAATGTGGAGCGATGTCAACAAGGAGTGAGAGATTTAACCCTTTTAGTTTGATGGCTGGAGCATTCACTCAGGAGGTGGAATGGAGATAGGGGAGAATTGAACCTGGGTGACTTATAACCAAGAAGCTATTCAATAAAAGGAAATTAAGGCTACTACCACCTCTGGCAGCGGGCTTGAGTTAGTGGGCGCTGGAGGAGAGGAAGAATGCTTCGGCCCTGGATCCCATTAGAAGCCTAGTTGCACAGCCTACGAAGTCATTTGGCTGGCAAAAACAGAGAAGTGGGATTTACATTTTGGACTTAAATGTCCTTCTGTGAACCTTCCCTGTAATGTATACACAGTACATCTCTGATGTTTACCCTATTTATTGTGGAGTTGTATGTCAGTCTGCTTCTACTTCTGTTTGGCTGCAGCATGTGGTTTATTATCATTCATTTTAGTTACAACTTAGGCAGACTAAGTGGATTGTAACAGGGAACCTGAACTCTTTGAGGAAAAATATTAGTTGAGTTTCTCAACATTTAAGATACTTGGGTGCTGTAGGATAGACATTTAGTGATGGTGTAAGAAACCAGTAACATAAAAAAGTCAAAGCCTCAACATAAATTGAAGAGTATTTGTAGGAGACAGTGTTAAGTATCTGGCAAAGAACTATGGTTCTCTCTGAATAACCCCATCAGCTTATCAGGGCTACTTTTCCTCCAGCATGCTCCAGCAGCTGTATTTTCTATTTACTGTTAGTACAAAAAGCATCTATTAAGTTTCTGATATTCTACCATCCTACTGTAACGTTAAAAGTTTTGAAGTGTTGCTTTCTGGTACAAAAATGTTACTTTATAGAAATGCTGCTTAACCTATGAAAATCTTTTGTATGATAAAACCTTGGATGTGGTTTTGTTCAGTAACAGACTTACTATTTTGTACTGGGGAGAAATCTCAAAACAAATTCAGTCTGTTTTCTTATTCTCTGAGATGGTGTTAGCACCTGTTCTCTGTTTGGGTTTTCATTAAACAGAGATATCAAGACTAGGGTTGGGTACTCAACTGGTCATAGATGAATCAAAAATTGTAAAAGAATGGCCAATAGGTCCAAATAATACACAGAAAAAAGCACATTTTTTCCATTAAGAAATTGTCAAAAAAATATTTCTTGACAGAAATACGATTTTTTTTAAAACGACAGAAAAAATGTAGGGTTTCTTGTAAAATTGTTATACTCTGACCTGTCAACTGCCTGGCTTGCCAACCCTAATCAAGACAATAGCTACCATTAAGTGAGGCTTACTCAAATATTCAAAATGCTGAGGAATGACCAATACATTTTCCAACCAGTTATTATAGTCAGCTTCAACTGTGCCAATTGACACCCAGGAACTCAAATTTAAGTAGGTTATTTAGCAGACTTCTCTTTCAAATACATTTTAAGCATCCCTAAAGGTGAATCTGACATAGATAGTTTTACCATGTCAATGATTGAAGGCAACCCAGCCAACATTTCTTTCATAAAAGTTTTAATAAACAAGCAAGACAATTCTTGTTGTGTCAGACCATCCGTGTAGGAAAGTCTTAGATGTGGTTATCATGCTTCATATGGAGCAAATATGGCATCATTAGTTAGTTAGAAAAGGGTGTAGGGATAGGACCAATTGTGAAACAGTAATCTTCTGCAACAGTAAGTAACATCTATAAAGAGTGTGTGTTTTATGTTAACATTTTTTTTTCAGTACTTTAGTTAGTTCACCTACTAGGTATTCGTTTTTGGCATTCAAGTGGAAACTAAGTATGCAACTGTATGAAACACCAGCTTGACCTCTGCATTTTTAGTCTCTGCAGATAGATGCGAGTCACCTTTAACACTACAAAATTAACTCCGACTTTGATAATGTCCATTAGCTAAATGGAAAAGAGTTAGACTCTGTAAGTTGCTCCAAGTCCATCTCTTACCAGAAAAGTGCAACAATACCTGTTTGTATTTTTTGTTCTGACTTTTAAAAAAATAAAGATCGAGTCCGTCACACAGCGCATGGGATTTTATACTTCACATTATGTTCTGAAAAGTACTTTTCTAATTAAAGGTATAATAAAAAACCCTTTTACACCAGCTTGAATGTATTGTTAGTTATTACAAAGCACATGTGATTTAGTTTGCATAAACAGCAGTACTGTTCTACTGTTTTACTGGAAGTTCCTCATTTAAAAGATGTCGTATAACGGTATGTTGTAATTTGAGACTTTTCCTCTTAATGGATTTGCTTTAAATGTGTCCAGCTGCTTTTTAGTTTCTTAGCTGCTGTAAGATAGCTATCCTGTGTTTATTTGATATATAGAATTGTAAAAACTGCATTTATTTATACAGAGACATTTATAATACTTTTATTTTACAAATGTTCTTATATTCTGAATAAATTTCTAATGCTAAAGAGTGCTGCTCTTTTGGTTTTTCTTGGTAGCTTCAGCCTCATCTCATTCTCCTTGCCTCACTAAACAGTTCAGTGCTAGGCCATGAAATCAAAGTTAATAAATTATACAGTTCAAAATCCTTATTAGTTTTCACTCTTAATGTGACAAAATGGCATAAGAATCACAATTGTGTTGTTTCACAAACAGAGTGCTAGGGTAATAGGAAAGTCTCTATATGGATTTTGCCTTTCTGCTTTACCTTACAGCAGGAATTGAGTACAGCTCTATAAGATGTACTTAACATTGCATTTGTAAACGTTTTAAAATTATAAAGCACTCTGGGCTTTATAAAAATCAAATCAGGCCTAATTAAAAGAGAAGGGTACATATGACATGTCCATATATCTGATTTTTTAATAAACTACCTAGATGACAAATCACTTTAACTCAAATACTTTAAAAGCACTGATCTGAATTTGACACTAAATCTTTAGTTCAGTGCACCCAGATGCTATCAAAAGCAGCTCCACAGGCGCTTTATTTGTAAATTAATACTCTCCTTAAACTGGCACATGTAAAATCAGTGCTGCTAACTGGCATTTAAGGCAATGAGTCGAAACATTCTCGTGTAAGTTTAACTGCCACAGCAGTACAGAATTTAAGTTTCACACTGCGACAAATGTTCATAGTCATTACTTCAAGTTATTACAGTAAATAATTATCCAGAAAGTAAAAAACTTTAATCTTAACAGTAAAAAAAAGAAAACACTTTACAAATACAAAAGAAATAGCCTGTGACTAAATGTTGACATTTTAACAAACAGTGTGCTTCAATGTCTGGATCAAGAAATGAACATTAAAAAAAAATGCTTAAAAACACATGATCTATTAGTACAATAGACTTTATGGGTAGTTACAGATCTTATCTAAAGAAGAGCTGAACAGTGCAAACCACTCTTCAGCTATCTCAGAGAAACTAAATAAACCTGTAACCTTACATGTTTATTTACCCGGTATGGACACAGCACCCAACACCAGTGAAAAAAAAAATCTAGAATCTTAAAATGTTACAGTTGGGACAGGCTACGTCTCATTGGTAACACAACAGAACACTTCATTATTGCAGACCAAGTCTTTGCATCTCCCTAGTTTTCTGCAAGACAATCACAGGAACTTAAAAGCAACCACAGATCAAACAAGTTATCTCATGCTGCACAAAGAAACAGCTGTACTGCACTTGGTTGTCAATACAGGATGCCATCTAGAAACCAAAAAGCTCTTCGAATTTATTACCATATCGTTTAACTTTTAAAAAATTCCCTACATAATATCAAGAATATTCCAACATCTTAGAATCAAAAAAGTAAATTGCCTCCTCCAATAATTTGACGAAAGTGTCCTCAGAGCACAGAAAAGAGTCCAACATGTTCTTGTTGCCATCAGCAAATTTTTACATGGGATTCTGAAACACGTAAGATGCTTTTACGTATGTGAACTTAAAAATGTAAAAGCCTTGCTGAATTTCTCATCAAAACTTTGTGGTACTTTACACATTAGAATGAGTTATGTATCTGCTTCAAAACCACAACCCAAACTTCAGAATAGCAGAAGAGCGTTCAAAGTTAATTTTCCTCCAACTGATACATTTCAATACCTTCAACGCTCATGCTG